CAAAATCCTAATGTTGGAGCTTAATTTCGATGATCATGAAAACCTTATATCACAGCCTTATAAAATTTATAATTTTCTGAAGCTTTACAAATTTTTTACGGACAAGATGCATGGCACAAACACATTATTACTAAATCATTGTGCCATCAAATGAAACCTTTATTTACTTCAAAGGGAAATCATACTGAACAATTTCGCTATATCATGATGTAATATGTTATACAGTGCAGTGGTTTTAATGCAATTTTCAAGAAACAATGCAAATTTAAAACATTTTGTTTTATAATTTGTGCCTAGCAGTTTTATGGTGTTATAAACACTTTTATCTATTTTTTGTTTTTATTAATTATGATCTAACAAATAGTATTCACTGTGGAGCCTATGTTTGTAATTTCTTACATTTTTTTCACAGTTTTTACTTATCGAATATAAAATTGTTTATTTTGCTTATGGGGATTCCTGATTAGAATTCTGGTTTGAATTTATTTCCGATTCAATGTTTCTAATACAAAAGATATCACGTTTATTTGAATTTATTCTTGAAATATTGAAATTTTGAAGTCAGTTTTTAAGCAAAAACCTGCGGAAATTAGTTATTTATGTAGATCTTTTTCAGATGATATTTAAAATGCTCGAAAATTGCTCGAAGCTATGAATCTAATTTTTAGTGTCAAAACTTACCGCATCAAATTCTAGCTTTTCACACCGAGTGTAATGATGATTTTTTAGAGCAAAAAAAAAAATCAATTTTCTCTTCTGTACACCTACATCCTTATTTTGGAAATTGTGTCCATTATATTTATGCCTTCCATCTCACGTAGGTCGTATGTAGCACAAGGCCAAGTTTATCGTCGGTTCTCCGAGACCGTAGGCTCGGCCAAAAATATTCCCTTTGAATCCGTATAAACGGGTTCAGGGCCTGTCTACCTCCCCGGACGAAACCTTGCCCTTCGGCAAAGCTTCGTTCGGGTTCCTCTCCACCGAGGCGGAAAGTTTGACAGCCGAACGGGCTATGGCACCGTTCCGGAGCTTGTGTTCGTTTGTACGTATTGTTGGGTATCTGTTAGATAAATGAACAGGAAAATCTCAGGTGGATCATGGCGGGAGGTTTTGGAGGCTGCTTTAATTTTTATGCAGTCAGAAACACGTCACTAAGTAACGAAGTATGCTGGGAAAAAATAAACAATACCATACGCATAATTTGTTTGCTTGTTTGTTCGTTTGGGTTTTATGGCATATCAACCACTGTGGGTTATTTAATGCCAAATCCAGTTTTTATATATATATATATATGCCAAATATATGAATTTTAAATGCCTATTTTGTATGGAACATTTTTAGCAAGCTAGAGCTTATTTGCTTGCACGCTGCAAAATAATCCTAGGTATTTTTTGTTTAAGTCAAGAATTTCCATTTGATAAGGACAATTTATTTGCAAAATGGTAAAAGGTAGGATATGTTGTTTATACATCAGTCTACATCTTTGATAAGAAACCAATTCTTTTTAGAAAATCCAATATATTTTTTGGTTCAGTTTTTGCAAATAATTTCTTCATGTTCTTCGTGTTATAGAATTTTCTACGGATGTGTGTGAGGTTTGTACATTCTATTAGTAGATGTTTTACAGTGTATTGTTTTCCATAGGAACATTTAGGAGGAGGAGGTTCTTGTTTTAGTACGAAAGAGTGAGTCAGTCTTGTGTGTCCAAATGCGTAGTCGGCCAATGGTGGTTTGTTCTTTTCTTGTTTTAAGATTCAGTTGCCTTTCCTTTAGAATTGGTGCTATTTGTTAGAGTTTATTGTTGGTATTTTTGTTCCATAGTTGTTGCCATTTTAGTGCATAATTTGTAATTATATATGTATATTACAATAACAATCAGCACCCCCAATTGCAGATCGATCTTGCGACCTGTCTGTCCAGTAGCACCTCCATATAGTAAGGTCTTTTGTTACCATAAGTAACGAGGTTGTAGCCATCGCTGCCTTAATAGGCCTGTCGCTTGGCTTACAGCTGTCACCCATCTGAGTACAATGATCCCTCGCTAATTCGCGGTTCTAACTAACGCGTTCACGACTTCGCGGATTTTAAATATATATATATGGGAAATATATCGCGGAGTTTCTGGAAAATTCTAGAAAAATCTCGATATATGAACACCTAAAATTTTTCATTAAACCCATTAAAATATTAATAATAAATATTATTTCCTGGTCTAGGAAGAACAAAACAAGCGTAAAATAGCAATAGAAAGGGCACACAGTATAGCGAAAGATGCCTCCCTGAAACTAAGTAAAGTAATTAAAATATAGGAAAATCAGAAATAAAAAGAAAAGAATGCTGGAGTACTGTACCGTGGCTAGTCTCCCATATGACAGTGAATTCTGGATAATTAATTCCATCATAGATGAAGAAGAGGCTAGAAGCGACAAAGATCGGGCACTATTCTAGGATTGCGGAGAAGGCCATCGACTGGGGAAGTTTTAAGGAAAAATGCCAGCGAAAACTACCCTTTTACATCATATCAGAAAGCGAAAGTTGAAATATGGGGAACACATAATGAGGTTTGAAGGCTTGGTGAATTTAACGTTCACAAGATAGATGGAACGCAAAACGGATTCTTGACAGAGCGTAAACAAAGGGAAATGGGAAAATAATCAAACGTTCCCCAGAATTATAAAGCTTAGGAAGTTGTGGAGAGCCATGTTCATCAACGTCTTGAAGAAACGCATGAAAGACTATATGACTGCCAGTAATTTCAGTGATAATTCATGTGCTCCAATCATTACTGGAACTGTTTTTATAAATTATATTTTAATCAAATACTGTTATAATAATGATAATGGAATTAGAAGTGCAATTTTATAAATACCACAGAACTTATAGATTTATTGGTGAAAAAATAATTTTCAAATCCTGAGGACGTTAAAGTTAGCAGGTCGAGGCGGGCCTTGGGCTTTATAGTAACTAGTCTACTCGATGTTATATGAACGATGTTATATCGAGAACATTTAAGAATAATGGGGCGTAGATGGCGTGGAAATTTATTCTTCATAAAACAATGTAGTGGTTCTTTTTATGATTGAAGCAAATATAATAAAATCTCGTTTAAATTCTATTGTTTAGAACTTTAGCAACGCTAGAAGTGTGAGGTTTAAAAAAATTAAAAAAAAGAGAAAAAAATAATAAAAATACTTCCCAGCATGCCTTTTAAAAAAAAAATAAAATAAAAAATCAATCAATAGACCGTAAGATTTTTTAAAAGGAGATATTTCCAAAAATGAATAAAGACGATAGAAAAATATACCGATTTTAAAGAGAGTGTCTTAGCAAATCTAATTAAATCAATGTTTAATCAAGACGAAAGTTGAGTGAAATCATCATGTCTGCGCATTCGTCTGTGTACATCTTCGTCTGCTCGAGGTTTTTCCCGCTTCTCTTGACAAAATATGCAAACATTTCGTGGAAAGAGGAACTAATGAAATTGCTGACATGATTGTCAAAAGTGATTGTCAAAGTGGAACTAGGAAATACTTAAGTGTTTTGCTTTGTTAGTTGCAAGCAAATATATAATAATGAATAACAATAATGAACTTCAACAATAGGCTACAAGAATGAATCAATATTAATAGTCCTTGAATATTAATAATGTTCCGGAATAAGAATGAAAAAGAGACACGAATGATTAAAATGTATTAATGGTCTTATATTACTAGCTAATATTAATCCTATAACATAAGATACTTCATGTGAACGTGTGCGTACACGTTTTGCAAAAGGAAATTATTATGTAGAAAAAAAGTTGATTTTTAACACGATGTCCTTTCAAGACAAAAGCGGTTATAGTTTACCTAATTAAAGTTATAGTAATTTTCTATAAATATGTTATCCTTCATATTTTAACTTTTATTACGTCCTCGGTATGATAATAAACTACATCCAGCAGCAAAGTCTCTGATCGGGAAAGGTCCTCGGTACGACAATAAACTACATCCGGCAACAAGGTCTCTGATCAGGAGGCGTCCTGTGTATGTCGATAAACTACACCCAACAGCAAGGCATCTGATCGGGAGGGTTCCTCGGTATGATAATAAACTGCATCCAGTAGCAAGGCCTCTGATCGGGAGTTTCTGGTATGCATGGAACCACCTCTTAATGCTCCCAGGTCGACCCTGACCCGGGGTGGTAGCACCTGTTAGGGTCCCAAACTGGGTTGAAAACTCTGTGAAAGTATAAACATATATTTTTATAGTAAAAATACCAACGATTCATTTTGCAAAAACAAAAATTCACAAAGATCCCAAGAAAATTAATTTTCAGCATTAAATGAGACATACGAAGTTGATATGCCGCTAAACAAAAAACAAAAAAACAAAGACAAAAAAACAACAAAAAAAAAAAAACAAACACACACTTTTTATTAGGTATATTCTCTGTCCTTTACTCTCATTACTTTAGATAACAGTAATATTTCGTTAAAACAGAGGGAAATGTAGGAATTAATAATAAAAATAAACGACTGAACAGTAGAAATCTAATGAATAATGCATGGGAAATATCAGTTATGAGGTACTCAGGGACCTTCCTAGACAGGGCAAGAAGCGATGGTGCGATGACCTGTAATACATAATGTTTTACATCCCAAAACTATACTGACGGTCTATACAAGGAGAAATGAAAAACGTATATGATTCATTGTCATCGAAGATCAGTCGACGCTGGGTGCCCGGTATATGTGGCTTTGTGCTAGACATTCTATTTAATTTTCATTCATACTTCTTTGTTAATCTGAGGGAAACAAAGAAAGAAATAGTTATTTTGACTGAGATAAAATAAAGACAGAAATAGATAGATAGATATAAACAGACTGAGACAGATATATATATATATATATATATATATATATATATATATATATATATATATATATATATATATGTATGTATATATGTATATATAGATATAGATATAGATAGATAGATAGATAATAACTATGAATAGACTGAGATAGATAGATAGATAGATAGATAGATATGAACAGACTGAGATAGATAGATAGATAGATAGATAGACATGAACAAACTGAGATAGATAGATAGATAGATAGATAGATATGAAAACACTGAGATAGATAGATAGATAGATAGATATGAACAGACTGAGATAGATAGATAGATAGATAGATAGATATGAACAGACTGAGATAGATAGATAGTTAGATAGATAGATAGATAGATAGATAGATAGATAGACATGAACAAACTGAGATAGATAGATAATTAGATAGATAGATAGATAGATAGATAGATAGATAGATAGATATGAACTTACAGAACGAATATTAGAAATAGAAATAGTTTAAATGAGGAGTTTGAGGACTATGAAAGAAGGCTCAAGAAAGACAGAAAGATAGAAAAAAGAAAGAGAGGACATGTAAAATTGAGAGGAATAATATTGGCGAAAGAGAGAGAGAGAGAGAGAGAGAGAGAGAGAGAGAGAGAGATAGAAGGAGAGGGAAAGAATGCAAAAAAAGAGAGAATAACTTGAGTTTATACAAGTATCGATTCCTTTCCTCTCCTATTCACATGATTATCCTGAAATCAATATGGTTGTTATCCACTTGTTTCCTCGATATACCTTACAATGACACCCATTGCTGGTCAGTGGATGTGACCTGATGACTCTTGGGTTAATGGACAAAACCATGTTATCAATTAGGGTTGCGGTCAATCAGACCTTACGACAATATCTTGCTTGCATTTTCTTCAACTCGAGAAGAAAGTTTCGACGGAAGGAATATTGTTGTCCTCTTGGAACTTGAGAGGAATCTGGCTATTTGCAGGAATTATCGCTGATTCTACAAGTAAAAGACTGGTGTCTTGGCTCTTTGCACTTAGCTGAAATTATCACACCATTAAGGTGTCTCTAAAGCATTTTCGTTTTGAAACTCTCGAGAGCAGTTCTATGTTTTTACAACTGATGTCATGTTCAGGATGCAGTATCTTCCGATCATCCATGCTCCCATTAAAGTTTTCCAGTGTTTCCAGATAACATGGAACGTTCTTGAAATGTTGCAGACTCGTTGAATTTTGGTTGGGAGATAGCTGAGCCATAACTATTTAGGCGCAGATCCAAGGTCTCTGGAGATCAACAGATGCCATACATAATTTACTTATTAATAGCAAGTATCATTATCCAATACTAAAGAGCTGGGCTTTAAATTCTTTAGCTGTAAGTATCATGGATTTTACAATAATAAACAAACGTAAACGCTTTGCGTATGGAAGAATAGCCACATACTCTTGAGACCCAATTAACATGGAACGTTCTTGAAATTTTGCAGCCTTGTTTAATTTTGGTTGGAGGATATGTGACATCGTGTTGATATTACTGCAACGTTGCAACGAGCTATTTCGCTGACCCAAAACTGATCGCTCATTTCCAACGTTGTCGCAACATCATGGTAACTTTGTAAAGTGCAATAGCCCCAAAATTCTGGATTGGTCAATTATAATATCAAAATACTTTTCCTTCACTTAATTTCATTTCGTATTTTTTAAAATTGAGAATCACTAAATTAAGATGTTGGGGCAAGTTCTGGGTAGTCTACAAAAAAAACATTTTGTTGGAAACCTTGTAGGAAAGTTATTTCGTTATTTAGACATCGAGGTTAATATTTAATCAATCAAGAAGATTGATTTAAATGAAATGATCTGTCAATCTTGTATCCAGTTCACTTCACCCCAACTGAAGACTTCTGTCAACGAGCATCACTTAATAGGCAGCTGGAAAACAAATTGTGACCTTCATTGCATCTAGTCCAGCGCTCTAACTACTGAGCTATCACAGAGGTGCAAGTTAAAAAGCAACGTTATTAATGGACGTCTCGTGAATAATAATCGGTCGTCAGGTCACTTGGTCCGCCGTTGTTCTAAAAATACTGGCACTTTCTTTTCTTTTTCGGATAACATTTCCAGTAGATTCCCCCCCCCCATGTCATGTTCGGGATGCAGTATCTTCCGATCTTCCATGCTCTCATTAAAACTATCCAGTGTTTTCAGATAACATAGAACATTCTTGAAATGTTGCAGCCTCGATATTTACTACAACGTTGCAACCAACTATTTCCCTGACTCCAAACTGATCGCTCATCCTCAACGTCATGGTAACTTTGTGAAGTGCTATAACCCCAAAATTCTTCATTGCTTAATTATAACAGCAGGATGCTTTTTCTTCACTTAGGTATATGTAGGTATAAAATTTTTTCGTATATTTTTTTAATTGAGAATCGCAAATTTAGTTGATAAATCAAACGTTCTAACATCTCCCTGGAATTTATTATTCAATTTCTGTTAAAGTAACCTTCAAGGGAATATAATCTAGACGTTATCTTGTAAGTTGGAGGAGTCTGTAAAATCGTTTTTACAACCCTTTATGTAGAGTTGAAGGAACTTCATTTTGTTAGCTTAGTTGGCGATCGGGTGTTGTTTTCTCTTGCGTTATAAGCGACAACTGATGGTCATTTATGGTCAAGGATGATTTGCTTCTATCCGCCATCATAACATTTGAAACAAAAGATTCAGTTCAATAATATTGCTAATGATATAATCCTAGGTACATCCATAGATTCGCTAAAATATGAGAATACCATGATGAAAAATGCCCCGAACTTAATAAAAAAATAAAAATAGCGTTTGATTCTCAAAATCTTTATGTTATTATTAAGAGTAAAGAACAAAGGATGCTTTGATCATTAAATTATATTTTTTATACTATTTCGAACGTTCGAAATTTTGGTTAAAATTCTTGTTTTTTTTTTATGTCAATCTTTCAAAATCTAAAATAAACAACTAACTCCACATTAAAAATTCATTTCTGTGATATTTTAAAATAAAAGTAATATTTGTTTCAAATCAGATTAATTAAACTTTAAATCAGCTAATATTCCTCAAATAAAGTTTCAGAAACGATTTCTTAATAAAGAGAATTATGTTTAGTAATTTCAAAACGAAAAGTCCTTGAAATAAATTTAAATTTGTTTTGAAATACAGCAAAGTATTTTGGTTGTTGGAAATATTAAATTTAATCTATCAGCTTGAAATTAAAATTAAAAGATTCAAGAAATATTTTTCATTTTTAAAAAAATTATTTTAAACCTTAGATATTGTGTTTTTTGTTGAGGCGCCGACGTTTAAACCATTTTTAGGTATGACTTCCTCTTCCAAATTTCTGAGAGTAGCTTCCACGGATTTAAGGACCAATTTAAAATAATACTTCAAATTTGCCAAAATCTCAAGGCTTCTGGCCGCCATTTTAAGGTATGAAACAAATGATACAGTTCAATAATATTGCTAATGTTATAATCTATATTTTAAAAAAGAAAGTCTGATTTTCTATTCGTCAGACAATTTTTGCGTGTGACGTTGCATTGACGTGTATCTCGATTGTGATTGAGTGACATTCATGGGCTGGGGCCATTTTACGTACATACACGCACACGTAAACACAATTTGACTGAGTTTGAAATAAGGCGTTAGAATAAAATGATCTCCCCTTACTCAGTCTGGACAACTTCTAACTTGGACTGAGCAATAAAATCATTAAGTTGGAGACAAGAAAAAATTTAAACCGAAAAATAATCAGTTAATGGTTTTATTAATCTTCTAAGAAATTATTCGCTAACAAATAGAGTTATTTTAATTTTAGAAATATTTTAGGCTAGTCATTGAACTAAAATATATCTGCATACATACGTAGAGATTTTAAATGAAAGTGAAATGGATACTTGTGTTAATGGGTTGAATTTCATTTTTCTCCCTGGCAGCAATTGTGTACTAGGAAACTCAAAATGTTTAGGCCTTTGAAGACAGTTTTATCACTTCTGTATTTAATAATATTCTAATAAATGTATTACTATAAAGGAAAAAAACAATTTAGATATGAAATTTGAGCATCTTGCCTTCACCAAAGCAACGTGAACCGTGTACCTTATGCAATAATGAGTAATAAGAGAAGCCTTTAGAAATACAATTTTAAACTAAGATGAATAAAAAAATGAAAATGATTGATATACCCTAACGTTTCTGACGGATGTGCGGGAGGCGTAGTTGTTATCGGCACGGAAAGATGAAGTGGCGAGCCGAGTTCTAATTCCACTCAAGTTTGTTGAGGTTTGGTTTCGTACAAATATTCTTGGAAAAGGTATGGATCCATTTCTATGTATTAACTAGACTCTCAAGCTTTGGTAAGCAACCAATGTAGGAGAAAGATAACTCAGTCCAGAACCGTGTGGGGCTAACAAATCTACTCCATAAAAAGCTACTTGACATGGAAATCGCGCCACCTAGCGTTCAACACGCATTGGCTTGATGATCTACGTTGCAATTGATTAAATATCAATCGCACAACAATTGGCAACTGAAACTGAAATCCGTATACTCTATTTTTTAAACTTCACATTTTCATGTCTGACGTCACTCTTAACTTTTGAATTTGCTTCAGTTTACGATTTGTGGTAAATTCCTTCCTACTTCGATGTTTTTCTTTACCATCAGTAGCGTTCCATTGACGTGATTATTTCTAAGATGGCTGACATATCCTGCGAAAGATTAGGGTTTTGTTCCATTCGTCTCTTTTATCAACGTCTTTCAAAACTTTTACGCGCTTGTATATTTAGTGTCTAAAGTTTAGTTTACTTCCCTTTCTTTTTTCCGGAATTTTCTGAGTAAGGCTAGAGAATATATCGGTTGAAAATACTTCCCCGGGTCACTTTGAATATTACTGCAACAGTTAGGTGCACAGCAATAGTAGACTGAGGTACGTAAGATAGACGAGGGATAAGAATATCTGTCAACAGCTTGGATGGAGAAATCTTATAGCTGTTGCTACTTGACATAGCAAGATCCTTTTGTCAAGAAAACAAATCTCATTGGATATTAATTTCTCTTCCGGATTTCTGATACTTAATTTAGATTAAAAATATAAAAATAAATATCCAGAAAAAAGAAATTAGAAAAAAAAATAGAGTAATATTTACCGTTACTTTTTTTTTTTACTCCATCTCTATTCTTATTGTCGTGACAAAAGCAAGTCTAAAGCAATTGGCGATGAAAAGCATTCAGGGAAAACTGAGTTCATATTTTTTCTGCCATTATTAACACCAAAAATATCAGTTCTATTCGAAGTAAAAGTAGGACACTGCTAGTCACCATAGTGATTTGTACCTTTAAGCACGACAGCATTGGATTCGAATGAAAGATAAGCATTATTTTACGTGGTCAGTATTAGTTGGGTAACAGTGGATTTAAAAAGAAAAAAGAAACTTATATAAGTAAAAAAGAAAAGGTTGATTTACAACAAAGCACCGTTCCTGTTTTCTTCAGCAATCAGTTTAACATTCTACTCGTTATAAGTACGTCAATACTGAACCTTTCATTTTTTTTTTTCTTATACTAGCCGATTTAGGCGATCGAACTTTGATCAGAACATTGGCTCGGTGACCGGAAGGTTACTTACAAGAACTGTTAAATATAACAAATTTCAAAGACCTTTTCAGAAGCCCAATATATTTTGGTGTAAAAGTAACAACATTTGTTCCAATGCCACAAGCACACTGACGGCATACGTTAACTCTTTACACTGAGGTGACTAAAAATGGCAAGAAGCTAGAATCTACAGGGAATTTTCGCAAAATAAAACAAATAGCCAGTAACTACAGCTAGAAAAAACAGTTTTATCGATTTTGTTTTTTCTTTGATTACTGGAAAAATTTAATTGAAAAATCTCTAAGTCGTTTTAATTATATTTTTTAATTAAATTTAATTAAATTTTTACTTTTAATTAGTTTCTTGATGGTTTAATTTTTTTTCAGGCTAAAAAATATATTAAGTTCGGAAAAGGTGTGAAAAAATTGGTATCGTTTCTTTCTTTTCCTTCGCTCCAGAAAGTAACAATTTATCATTTATTTGTTGCAAATTTGGTTACAAGTTCCAGCAATCAGTCTATTGATCATCCGGTTGATTCCTTTTCTACGGTTTATTAACCATTTCCAGGTTATTTAAAGCCAGAAAATATTTATAGATTGTAAGAATCTTATTTTTTGTGATAATAATGATTTAGGGATTTAAGTCTTACTAATTAACCCATAGCTAGGGGAGAAAACTGGATCTATACCTTTCCCAACGGTATTTGCGCCTGAACACAATGAACCCAACATGAATTGGAACTTGGCTCTCAAATTTCCAATTCTAAGCCATTATCCATTACATCACCTGCATATCCAAGCTTACAGCATCTGATATTTGCAAATTGTCACCCATCTAGGTACTGACCAGGCTCGATGTTGCTTAACTTTCGTGATCGTACAGGAACTGATGTTTCAAGCTTACAGCACCTGGTATTCCCAAGCGGTCACCTATCTAGGTACAGACCAGGCTTGACGTTGCTTAACTTTGGTGATCGTACAGGAACTGATGTTTCAAGCTTACAGCACCTTGTATTCCCAAGCGGTCACCCATCTAGGTACAGACCAGGCTTGACGTTGCTTAACTTTTGTGATCGTACAGGAACTGATGTTTCAAGCTTACAGCACCTTGTATTCCCAAGCGGTCACCCATCTAGGTACAGACCGGGCTTAACGTTGCTTAACTTCGATGATCGAACTGGAACCTGTGTTTCAACGTGAATGATATTTACTAAGTCGTACATAAAGAGCCATCAGCCTAATGATCTTCGAAATGAGTTTACTGTTCGTTTCCACCAGTTTCGCCTTTAAATATTTACATAATTCTACTTCTGTCCTATAATTGTTATTACATTAATATATGAAAAGCATACGGAAATTTAACAACTCTTATGTACCAATGGTAGACTTTAATCTTGAGGCAGATTAACTTCGTAAGGCACAAAGAGACAAGGGCGGGATAAGAATTGACGATTGGACTCACCCCGGTTATAATGGTTCCTTCAGTAACCCTTGTTTCACAGACAGCATCTTCATAGGTTATCTTAGTCAGGCACAAGGCAACAAGAACAGGGATGGTATACGCAGACAAGTTAGCAAACCATCAGTCAATAGCACTCGTACAAAACAATGCGCTTATTTTCCCAGTAAATTTCAGATATACGACTTCATCACCTCCCTGCAAGATTAACGCGGCAGATATTCCTCTACTGAAAGCGCAATTATTTTCTAAATCTATCAGTCATTTTGAGATAAGCCATTGCTACTCGAGTTTTGCCTTTTCTCTCCTCCTGGCAATCGGGTCAAAGTTTGGTATCTTTTTTCCGTATCTCTGATGGTAAAGGTTTCTTTATAAGGAAACATTCAACATTCATTGATCAAACAGATAGTGTTACTGACGGTAATAGAGTAATAGTAAACTTCGCTTACGGCCATATCACGTGGTTTGCGTCTGACTACCGAAGTTAAGCTACGTAGAGCCTGGTTTGGTTTGTTTTATGGCATATCAACCTCAATAGGTTATTTAATGCCGGCAATTTTTTTCAAAGTATTTCTGGTATGTATTAAAACTTATTTTTACACTTTCATAGTGTTTTGACCCCAGTTTGGGTGTCAACTATTTGCCCATAGCTGGGACCCTAACAGGTGCTACCACCCCGGGTCAGGGTGGATTTGGGAACATCAGCAATTAAGAGGTGGTCCCATGCTCCTCAAAACCTCCTGATCAGAGGCCTTGCTGTTGGATGTAGTTTACCGTCTTACCCAGGACGCGGATGTAGTTTACCGTCTTACCCAGGACGCGGATGTAGTTTATCGTCATACCCAGGACGCGGATGTAGAGTTTGGTCAGTACCCAGATAGATGAGCGCGTGGGAATGCCAGATGCTGTAAGCTTGGATGTGCGGGTGGTGTAATGGATAACGACGGGGAGTGAGAAATCGTAGAGCCGAGTTCGAACTCCAGTCGGGTTCATTATATTCGGTTACGCAAATAAACTGGGAAGATCATGAATCGAAAATCGTGTTACATTGGCCCCTACCATCGCACATTGGGCTAGTGCGTTTGCATAATGGTCTATTCCTCCCCATGAAACTGATTGGAACTCGATTTGTTCTGGAAAAGTCATGATGGGTAAACTCTAATGAAAACCAAACTCAGTAATTAGTAAAAGACTTTTTCACATAAATACCTGAGGAATTTTACTCAAAAGATTTGGAAGAGTTGACTCGTCATTGTAAATAATGCTGAAAATATAACTGAATCTAATATAATTTTACTTTGTTTTTAATAATGATGTCGATAATAAAAAAACGGAAATTATTCATGACTCAGTAATATATCTCCTATCAGACAAATGAGAACCTGAAGAAAGCCTGAGTTTACCCAGCCGAAACCTTGTGTCTATAAGAACATCAATAAAAACCAAGATGAGATGAATTATTCGAATAAATCCGTGTATTGTAAAAATTCCATATAAAAAAAACCCAAAAGAAACATACAAAACAGCATCAGAATAAAATTTAATCATTGTCTATGGCAAAATTCACCGATTATACTGTCTGCAAACACAGTCGCTAAGCATCAACACAAATGCAGCAAAAGTAAGAAAAGAATTAAGTGGAATGGCCAAAGTAAACTCCTTCCTTAATTAATTTAAGAATATTTGATCTTTGAAGGGTTCGCTGTCCGAGGAACATTTTCGCAATGAGTCTGTATAATTCAAAATAGATTTCAAGGAAAGCAAAAAAGGATGCCCAATGTATGCTTTCCTTTATTTAAATAGCAGCAGCCGAAAATTGTTAGGCAAACAGTAAACCTTATCGAATTTTCGTCATTCAAGTTCATTCGTAGCTGGATTCTTTCCTCTGTGTATTTGATCACTTTTAAAATAATGGTGATGAAGTGGGAAAAGTTCTTACTCAGTTAATTTTTGGCGGGAATTGTCGAGTCGGGATTTCGGGAACCACTTCAAAATTCTTGCCATAAGACGTAATACCCTTGTATTCTTCAAAAACCAATTTTTAGCAGTTAACCCAGGTTCTTGAAGTTTTTATACTTTTTTTTAAATCATTTTACTGTCATAGACTTCAGTTATAATGACAGAACGGTCCCCCCAGCAATAAAAGATAATGTGAACAAAACAAACCCCAATAGCATTCGAATAAACAAATGGATAGCAAGTAGAATTTTACAAGGATGGAAAACAGGGAAAAGGTAGGGATCCAAAGTATAAATTCCAAATAAGACATGAGAAAAAAAAAATCCTAAAAAGAATTGGATTTTTCTCCAAAGACTCAGACTTGATTCAGCAATAGCAGAATTTTAATTAGGAATCGTCAGGCTTCGTAATTTCGTTCGGAGCTTGCGGCTTAAGAATCAGATATGTTTTGTGGGTTAGCGATTCTGTAAACATTACTTGCTGGTTTAAAAAAAATCCTTTTTCCAATTCTCTCTTTCATTACTTTTTTTTATATTTTAAATAAATATTTTCTAAATCTTCTTTTGATTCTTAAAATCATTTCGTTACGACTTCATATTACGATCTATTCTTTGTTTACAACTTTTCCTGACTGGCTTGGAAGAGATTATTGTTATTTACAAGTAAATATATCAGCCGCAAACATGAATACATAAAGGCAGAGTACTCGTCAAAAATGTGTTTGGATAAGAAATTCTGCCAATGATCAAAATATATGTGCGGTTTGCATAGGTACAGAGTCTTCATGCCTGCAATCTGAAGATATTTTCTGTTAATTTACCACAAATACTGAAAACTTATCGCAAATATTAATTCACCCCAAGAAATTATAAATTTTAAATGAAAGTTTTTTTTATTAAATTTTGGGCACTCTTTTGAAAATTATAAATTTTAAGTCAAAATTTATTTAGCATCACAACAACCCCTACCCTGAAAAATTACCAAAAATCAGGAAGTTATTCACATTTCGTAAGGGCGGATGTTATTACTAGGAATTTTTTTACAATTTAAAAAATATATATATTCTTACTTGTTTATCGGAATGAGCGCGAACGTAGACCCCACGCATACAAATAGTGCATCCAAGTCACCCACATTTGGGGCAATCGCAAAGGTCAACCTAACCGGAGTGCAATGGAAGTGCATCGCTATGGGAGAATCTGGCGTAAATTTTAGCAAATATATTTTTTTTATTTTGGGTTGAATTAATATTTTGGTGTGAATTAACAAAAAAAAAAAAAAAATCCCAGTCTGCTTATCGTCAGAGAGTAGAGTTATTCTTTCATACGTAGGCGGTTATGGCTCTCCACGACTTCATGTTTTGTAGCTTTAAGCAGCGTTTGACATTTTACAATCCCTCTTTTTCTCCTCTCTGTCTTCCATTCACCTAGACGCATTAAATAAGTGATATGCGTTTTAATATTTCTTGTCAATGTTAAGTTTGCCAAACTGTTTTTTCTCATGTGTTTTAGAACTGTCAACTGTTTCTCTCTGATTTGAAGTATAAATGGTCTTGTAGTTTCAAAGTTCCAAGGAAGAGAGCTCATTAGAATAATTACCATGAAAATATTTATAGGAAAAACATAGAGAAGCCACTCCACAGTGGTGGGAAGTCATTGAAATCGAGATGCCAGGTAATGACCGATAACATTGCAAACCCTTCCTTTGATTTTATCGAAGATCTCAAGATATATAACCGGAGCACCAGACCAAATATGGCAGTGATATTTAATACACGGGCGAATGATAGATTTATAAATATGCAAGATAGATTCCGGCGAGAAAAAATTGTCTAACACGACACAGTGAATGAGCTTTTTTAGCTGCTGATCTAGAAGTTGATTAAATAAAACCATTTCACTTTATATCCTCGTAAAATATGAGACCAAGAAGGGGCAAATACATATTCGCTTCGTGATATTCTCAGCATTCTTCTGTAGAATTAACTTCGGGTTAACGCTTATAAAAATGGTCCACTTGATTGGGAAGAATAATAAATAACAATGTCACTTGTTGTTGTCAGAGGTTTCTTTTTTTTTCTCACAGGTTACATCTAATGAAAGTTGAAGAACAAATCTGCCAAAACGGGTTAACAAAAGCAAATGTGAAAACATCAAGAAATCTGAGAATCCGAAAAATATTGATTATAATTATTTCCTGTCACAAAAAAATTGCCGATCAGTTTTTGTCTAAAGACTGGCTTCAATTAGAAAGCATTTTATTTTTAAAGGAAGAAATAAGCTACATTTGATTGTAATGTACAAATGTTACGACCATTGGTCAATAACATTAAGCACGTATCTGAGAAGGAAATCGTCTTGTTTTTGTTTACAACTGTGTCGCAGTTTGAAAATAGTTTCTAAAATTGTTTTTATTGCAGATACATCATAATAAGAAATTATAATCCCTTTGATATTTGCCAATTATTTATAGAAAATCTTGTTTTGAACGGTTTCATTAAGATTAAATTTTAAAAACAAAAATGAAAAATATCTAAAAGCTACGTTTTATTCTTGAGTAAATAAAGAAATGGAGTCGTAAATAATTACATATCGATAACGTTTATATTCTGTTGAACTTACGTGGAACTGGAATGAAGTTTCGGGAGCTATTTGCTTTACTGCTTGACTTCAACAGTTCGATGATCTGAAATCTTTCTTTTGAACGTAATAGATAACGCATTTGTTGATTTTTCTTATGTATGTCATCTTCGTAAGTTTTTGCCGCACAGACGTTGTCC